CGAGTCAGTTAGAAATACCAAGGGTTCACACAAAACAAGGGGAGTCCGCTTTTAGCTATTATGCCACCCGCAGTTGGAATCAGCTTCCAGAATAGATCAGATGTGCTAAAACATTAGTCACATTTAAATCTAGACTCAAAACTCATCTGATTAGCTGTGCATTTATTGAATGAGCACTGTGCAATGTCCGAACTGATTGCACTGTATTTTATGTATGTATAATCATTTTCTATTTTTAACTGTCTTAAATTCTTTTTACATAAATTGTTTAATCATTTTTTAAGTTTTTAAATTCCTTGTTTTATTTTTGTGATTATTTTTTTAAATTATTATTTTACTTTCTTTTATGTAAAGCACTTTGAATTACCATTGTGTACGAAATGTGCTATATAAATAAACTTGCCTCTTTTCTTTTATGTAAAGCACTTTGAATTACCATTGTGTATGAAATGTGCTGTATAAATAAACTTGCCTTGCCTTGCCTTATTTGACCAGTCTGACGATAGGTTTAAAAACGATCCGCATAAAGCCACGATTTAGATCCAGCACTAAAATTAATCCCTTCTCATACAGTCTGATGTAGCTTTGCATCCCACCCTAACAAATCATCAGTATAAAGTCCATGTATGAACATGTCTGATGAGAGTTTTGTATGTTCTTATAAGTTGTGTGTGTGTGTGTGTGTGTGTGTGTGTGTGTGTGTGTGTGTGTGTGTGAGTGTGCAGTGTCACATGATCCTTCAGATAGTGTGTGTGTGTGTGTGTGTGTGTGTGTGTGTGTGTGTGTAATCACACACACACACACACACTAAATTAAATCACTTAATAAATAATCTTCCATATTCTCAAAAATTATCACAAAAGACAGGATGACACATTTTACAGGGGAGTCATTTTCTTCCTTATTTGCAGGAAGTGTTGAGTATAAAACAGCCTGTGTGTTTGACTGTGTCATTAATAGATCAGCATGGAGCTCAGTCTACTTCCTCTAATGCTCTGTGAGTATAATTTTCTCATTTATGCATTAATTTCTTATTTTGTGTAATGATGTAGTGAATCAGTGTTCATCTGTATTTCATTGTCTTATGTATTTAATATGTTTTCATTCATGCTGCTATTAATGTTAGTATCAAATCCAGTTCATGATGTCTGTGCATGAAAGCTAATTATACTCTCATGTGCTGCATGTAGCTGAGTGAGATCAGTGTATTTATTATTTATCATGTTCTGAAATTTTTGTAAGTTTGTTTTCTTCAGTAGATCTTCATCAGCAGTTGGTGCATCTATTTATAGTCTTTACTTGTGATGTGATGTGGTGACCTTACTGACCACTTATGAAGTACTGATGGCATGCAAAATAAGATCTGCAGTTCAGTGTCTCTGTTGTTTCAGTGGTATGATGACAGCATCACGTTGATATTCTTAGCAATGCACATAGATGTTGTCTTCAATCTTTCACCCTGCTTCAGAATAGAGATAGATTGATCTGATTTGATAGAATAGAGAAGATAGAAAGAGTTGAGTCGAGCAATTCTGCTCATTAACAATATAAAACTGGTCTAAAATCTGTTGTATCAAAATACCATTGACACTGTTTGTAGTTGCTATTTTGAATTAGTCTTCTAAAGAGCTAATTTCTCTCTCAAACTTTTAATCAGTGTAAACTATTCAAATGGCGATTCAAACTATGCTTTTCTTGTGGAATTCCTTTCAAACGTTTTTAAAGAAATTCATGTAGTTCTATTTAGAATCAACTAAATCTAATAATTAATCAATAATGGTCTCTTTTCAATTTTCAGTGCTGATTTCAAACATCCGCCCTGCACACACTCAAGGTGATTTATATATTTCTTCAAATATTCACCCATATAATGCATATACATTATGAACTTAAAGATAATAACATGTTAAGAGAGGCTTTTATTTACAGAGAAAAAAAAGGTGGTTGTAAATAAAGTGAGTTTATTGTTCTCATCATGCAGGGCAAGAGGCTTCAGAGGAACACAACAGTAAGTGTTTTCAATGTATTGCACCATTCCTGGACAAAGACAAGAAATAAACACTGATATACGTGTAGATGTGTAGATTATTTTGGCTTCTTTGGATGTTTTAGCATAACTTCTGTTTGTTCGGTTCTTATAGAGGCACCTAAACCTCGTCTGACTGTTCAGCCTGAACCATCACAGATATTCAGAGGAGAGACTGTCACTCTCACATGTGACATACAGGGGGAAGATTGGACATACACATGGCAGTGTGGAGATGAACAGCACAACTCTGAGGAGAAAGAGTTCAAGATCACTGTACAGCTCAAACAGTCCTGCAAGTGTAAAGGCTGCAGAAAACCATTCTGCTCTGAATGGAGTGATGCTGTGACTCTGAGTGTTTCGGGTGAGTGATCATCACTGATACACGTCAGGATCTTGCTTAAATGCATAAACAATGAATTGACTCCAACCGAGAAAAAAACTACTAGTAAACATTTATAGCAACTCTAGTCTATTGATTCTGGGTTATTTATATTAAATGTTTCTTAATTTTGCCTCACCCGTCAGCTTATTTTCTTTGTCATTATGAGTAATATAATTGTATGGCTGTTTTATGCTCTTCTAACATGAGAGGTCTCATAAAGACGACACATGAAGACATGGCTCCTCAAATTGGGTGCTCAACTCACTTGGGTGCTCAACTTTCATTGTTACAATTACAGGAAGTATTTTATTATCAGCCAAATTTCCATATGGCAGTAACATGAATAATATAATACACGTTATGTGGTTAGTTAATGTCATGTATTGAGATTAAGCAGACACAACTAACATTCAGTCTGTCTAACATACAGCGTCTACAGTAGAAACAACCCAAATTTGTCTCAATACAAATACCAGAAATGCAGTGATAGATGATGACTCATGAAGTAGTCATGATGTATCATGAAATATTTACAGGCAAGCCCAAATTAACTGTAAAGCCCCAGAGTTCAGTGTTCACTGGAGACACAGTTACTCTCATCTGTGATGTGGGACGATCAACTGGACGGACAATTCACTGGTTCAAAAACTTTCAGAGAATAAAAGCTGGTTCTGAAACAGAAACACTGAGTGATGTGAGAGTCTCTGATGGAGGAAGATATGCGTGTGCTGTACAAAGAAAGACCACACAAAGCCAAGGAGTCATGCTAACAGTAGGAGGTCAGTGCTGTTTTTACAGGACAATCTGATTTTCAGTTTACAATAATATTATGAAGATTAATGTCCCCCATCCACAATATCATGTGCTGTCGGTTAAAGTAAACTTCAGTTTATTTTACACAGAGAGACCCAAGCCTGTAGTGCGTGTCCAGCCTGATGGACGTGTGTTCAGAGGAGGACAGACGGTCACTCTCACATGTGACATACAGGAGACAGACGTCACCAGCTGGAGCTACAGCTGGAATAAAGATGATTCAGAGATTCATGTCAGTCAATCTCAGGAATACCGGATCAGTTCTGTTAGTGAATCTCACGCAGGTAATTACAGCTGTACTGGAAGAGAAACAGGAGGATCACGATACTCACACACCAGTGATAAAGTGACGCTGACCGTATCAGGTGAGTGTGTTTATATCTGTTCACATCACTCTGACTACATGAGCAAAAATGTCTGTAAATAACAAATAAGAAACCTTAACCAACATGTTTAATGTTTAATGTAATGTGCATTGATTCATGCTCCTTATTTACTGCATATGTAGTAAATCTGCAGATAAATAACTTAAACAAAAGCTATTTTAATAAATAAATGGGTTTACTTTAGGCTAAAACATGTCACAATCAAATTACAGATGATTAGCTACAAGGGTAGCTAACTTGACCAACTTGATTAATTTGACCTACTGACCTTTTATTTTAAAACATCAGGATCTTCAGGACTAGAGTTTTCCGAAGCTCATGCTCTGATAATCGGAGTGATTGCAGGACTGAGTGTCACATTTCTGCTCATGTTCTTACTGGCCCTGCTGTGGTGCTGCAAACACAACAAAGGTTCATCTCATCTCTTTAAATCAGCATAGACTACTTATACAGACTGTCTTAACTATAATGACCTTTGGAAGCGTTTTATGGTTAAAGATCATTTTATATAAATATCTGTCATAATCTGAGGGCAGGAAAGCTGTTTGTGAATCATTCCTGAGGTTTCTCTGTGTTTGAGTAGGTGCAGGATCTCCGTCTCCCTCTACTGAGTATCAGCTAAAATAGTAGCCATCATCAGTTTACAACAAAAAAAAAAACAAACTCAGTAAATACAAACAACTGAAAAACTAAAACCAGAAAAAAAGAGAGGAAAATGTATCACTCATTCATTATTTTTTAAATGCAGACATATGGACCTTCTGATGTAAAGATTGACCTGAAATCAATGAATGAAATTAAGAAACATAAGATAAATGTGAAATAAATGTATGAGCCACTCTGTCATCTGTTAGGAAAGGAGAGTTCTGACACTGTTTACTCCAAACTGAAGATTTAAGGTGAAATAAACTAAAAACTGTGCAAAATATCATAATATAAGGCACTTACGAAGATACATGTTTTATACTTGTGAATTAATTTGTATAATTTCAGGTTCTGTTGCTGGATCTATATGATGAATGCTCAGACAACTTTCATCAGCATTAGAATTAAAAAATGTACCAAAAGTTGGTGAATTGGATATATTACCCATAATTATTAATCATATTGTTTAAATTATTAATCATAACATGCATATATTCATAATCCATGACATTTTAAAACAAGATTTGTGTCACCACAACACATGATCCTTCTAACCGCTGATACAGTACCACTGGGTACATATTCATCTTACATAACTGTTGCATTACTAATATGTACAGAATAATGAATATTATAAGAAAATAGCAATAGGCTTATGTTCCTGTATTAATCTATCCTCTCGCTGTCCAATAGATATGATCATAGAGACGATTTGATTGTTTCATCTATATTTACAATCCATGTACACAATGCATTGTGTTTTTGATAGTCTTGCATCTTCTTTTGGTATTTACTGTGTGTTTGTCTTCTTGCTCTTGCTTTAATCGTGTATGTTAATAAAATGTATTTTCCATTCAAGTTGTAAGAACTAAATAAAGCACTATATCACTTGTGAAGTGAAACTAACTAAACACTGCATTGTGTTTTTTCTAAAACATCAGGATTATTTGGTTGTCTTGACACTGCTTGGTCTCATGCTGTAGTATCACAGGGTTACAATTAGCATGAAATGCCCATATAATCAGAGCTTTAGACTTTTTTATTATCTGAAGACCTTGATTACTTTGGTTCGGGTGTGTTTAATTAGAGTTGGACTAAACTCTGCAGGATAGTGGTCCTCCAGGAACAGGTTTGGACACCCCTGCCTTAAATGAAATAGAATGAGTGCAGTAAACAAATAACAAATGATCAAAATAACTACTCTGCAATTGCCTTTATTTTACAAAAATAAAACTGTTTAGTATTACATTACAATTTCCATCTCCATTCCGAACTAAACAGTAATTCAGTCCAAAGAGATCACTGTGCACAGTATGCTATTTATTTGTTTTTTGTTTGTTTGTTTTATTTCTATGTTATTTGCCAAAATATGCAACCACGGGATACTACATAAAGATAATGAGATAAAGAATGCTACTATAATGTAATTGCACTCAAATTTACTTTTCATTTCCAGTGTAAGGAATAAACTAGAGACTATATGTGCTGTGATTTGAATTTATTTAATACACGAGTTTCACAATTTGAGTTGAATTACCATGACTTTTCCATGACATTATAAATTATTGAGATGCACCTGTACATTGATAAAACACCAACAACACGTTGGCCGGCGACAGCCATGACGTCACTACCGGTGCAACTATAGTATAAATAGGCGCCCCATGACGTCACTACCGGTGCGACTATGGTATAAATAGGCGCCGGGAGAACACATCATCCTCTTCTTCATCTTCACTGACTGTTTTGTTTGAAGCGTGCATTTCCGTGGTAAGAGCGATCTTCCTTTTCTTCCTGATCTCCATACAAAGATCGAGAAGGAATGGAAGAGGCCGTTTTCCTCATGTAGCCATCGATTCCAGCATACGAGTTATGCCAACATCGAGGCGATGCACGAAAACGGCTATGAGAAGATGCCCCTGTAGAAGAGACGCTGGCCAGCTATCTCTCTATAGGTGAGACGTCCCCTCTTAAAACTCCCTCCTTGCCATCTAAGCCCCTTCAGGATACATCTCGCTTGAATGGCAGGGCATACGCAGCAGCAAGTCAGGCTGTTGCTTCGCTGCACACGATGGCGGTGCTCCAGGCATACCAGGCTGACCTGCTGAAAGACCTGGATAAAGGCGAGGAGAAGAGACGCTAGCTAGCTATCTCTCTATGGGTGAGACATCATCTCTCAAAACTCCCCCCTTGCCATCCGTGCCCCTTCAAGCTACATCTAAACTGAATGGTAGGGCATACGCAGCAGCAGGTCAGGCTGTTGCTTCGCTGCACACGATGGCGGTGCTCCAGGCATACCAGGCTGACCTGCTGAAAGACCTCGATAAAGGCGAGGGCCTTTCTCCCGATGAGGTAGCTGAGTTGCGCCGCACCACTGATCTCACTCTCTGTGCTACTAAGCAGGCCGCCTCTGCTGTGGGCAGGTCCATGGCGGCTATGGTAGTGACGGAGAGACATCTGTGGGTGAACCTGGCAGATATCGGGAAGAAAGAGAGGGGCTTTCTTGGATGCGAAGGCGCGCTCAGCGGCCTTCAGAACCTTCATTCCACGAAGGTCCAGGTCTGAGCCCGAACAACCCAGGGGTCCTGGCCCGTCTCGGTTTGAGGATCAGAGACGGGCACAGAAGGCTAGTGTCACGACTCGCGCTCCTCCTCCGCCTGCGGGTAGGGGAAGGAGGAATCGCGGGTCAAAGGGAGGTAGGCAAGACGCAAGACTTATGATCCAGACAAGGCGTCAGCGCTTTCGTTCGGATCAGCGTGACACTTGAGTACTCATTTCTCATTTCCGTTTTACATCTGCCCTTATCTTCCCCTTCCTAATTCCCCTGTAACCACCATATCTCCACCTGACCGAGGTTAGGTGGAAGCTTCCTGCATAACAGTCTCCTTCTGGACCTATGATGTTTTTGGTTGGTTCTATGGTTAAATCATAGTAACCACCTTACTGATGGTCCGGTCTAGAGGCTTCTCCGGACAGAGCTCCGACGCGGGAGCCATGGTGGGTGAGGACGATCCATGTCTAATATATGGATATTTAAATATATGTATGTGTGTATCTAATGAACTGG